CATTTGACTCATCTTTCTGTAACAGCAGTAGACTCTTCATCAACTTCTCCTTTGTTTGGGAGGCTGGTTTCGAAAGTGGCAATGAGCCACAATTGAAGTAACCAGAAAGGGCCTGACAATAGCAAGTTCTCGCGGCTTTCCTTGTCCTTCAACCTGCCAGCACCTTCGCTTAGGGATTCGTACAGACTGGCCAGGATCATCTCACTCAGACAAATGCCTCGATTCAGATGCAGTTGATTGGCCAATGTGAGGTACTTCCGCGCCACCTGCAAAGATTTCATACAAAAAACACAGCAAGACAACCACATGGCTAAAAAAGCTATATGTTCTTCATCATCGACTATGGTTGTGTTTTTATTATGATAGTGATTGATGAAGTGGGTATATGTGTGTTTGGTGTTGGAAAATCCTATGGAGTCCTGGCAATCTACCTCGGGGTCGTAAATCAGTCCATGGGACTTCAACCTTATGATAATGGTTATGTCGAAGAGTGTTGGTGTCATCATCCCACATGGGAGATGGAAGGTATAGTGGGTACTATCCTAGAAGTACAATGAGGAGGCTAGCATGATAGGGCAGTAAGTTGGGCCGACCTTCGACATCATGATTAAATTATAGATGCCAGTTTCTTTCCAGTCACTAGCCTTGACTTTCTCCGTCTTTGTTAGCCAATTTAAGTAAAGATCTGAATCTTTGAAGTAGGGGGTGGCTCTGAATAACCTGGCTCCATAGTTAAGGTATTTTAGGTCTACATTGTAGAGTGCTAAACTATCTGGGCCTTCAACAGGAAGTTTGCTGGAATCTTTTTGCCTTAAGGGTTCGGTCTTACGGTAGGAGGGGAAAAAGTCACTAAGGTTGGAATAATTGAGACTCAATGGAGACAACAGACTAGACATAGCTAAAGGTTTACCTGCAACAGTAATAGGAATTATTACTGGGGATTCGTACATAGGCCTCTTCTCTTCTAGTAGGGGTTCAGGGATGAACTGTTGATTCTTCACCATTTTCGGCCCACTCAGTGTGGTGAAAGGAGGAAGGAGCGGTGCAGCTGATTATCCTTTGATTTGTGACTTCTTCTTTTGAGCTTGGTTTCCAGCCATAGATGATTCCATTGATGAATTTTGGGGAAGAAATGAGTTTTGGAGAGTTAGAAGATGTCTGAAAAAATACGTGAGTATTTGCTGAAGAGTGGGAAAGTTGGAAATGATTTCTGAAGAACTATTTATAGGATGGTTGGAGATCAAAAGTATTTTATTTCATCATTATGGCTAAGAGATAATGGGCCACATGTTGTAAGATAAAGAGATGGGGCGGTAGCAGTTACTACTTATACCCATGATTGTCTTCTTAGGCCCTAAAAAAGATGATGATGGTTTGCAGATTTTTGTGAGTTCCAAGAAATCTGCCATAATGACTCATGACGTCAGGGACGTGCACGGGGATAGAAAAACAATTTCCTGCTTTTCTTTTTCTTTCTTTTTCTTCTCTTGTCTTCCCAGACGCATGTAGTCAATCACATTGATGCTTGTGTGAAGGTCGAAATAACAGCGTCGAATTGGACGCTGTCAAAAAATGGTTCTTTTTCTACAAAAAGGTCGAAAAAGACATTTTTGGGGGACAATTTGTTAGCTCACAAATTCGACGTCTCACATATATAGATTAAAATATTTAAATAAAATATTAAAGTCTTTGAGAGGTAAAGAGGTTTTTCGAGCCATGAGACCTTCGAGTGGGAAGTCAAATGTTGTGGGACTTAGAGAAAATTCTGAACCTTAAAGAAAGTAGCCTTCGACCGAGATGCTGGCTGGAGATTAGTGAAGTTTTTGAAATTCAAATAATGGAGGGAATAGTTATTCTTTCCTATGACTAAGAGGGACAAGTGGCATTCGTTTGGCAAAGGACTACATGCATTGTGACACTTGTCAGAAGCTGATGGCTTTAGGAGGTTATTGGTAGTTATTTTTACTATTATAAATAGGGGTCTTAGACATAGAATTCAGTGTGTTGTAATTTATTATTTGTGCAAGCCACTCCTAAATTTACTCAAAGTATCCGAGTGTAGAGAAATGAGTTTAAGGAGAATGTACATTATGTAAACACACCATCTTTATTTTCAATGAAGTTTAATTTACTTGCTTAACTTTACAAAGTTTTTCTTTGCCTTTTCTACTATCTACCCCCTTCTGTGCATTTTACTTTATCTTCGTTCTAAAATCTTTTTGATGATTTCTATTTCTTTTCCCTCTAATCTCTATCTTCTTTTTTGCCTCAGTCGAACAAATACCTTTATGATTAAAGTCTTTTACTAAAACACTGTCGAAGTGTGTAACTTAGATAGATTTCAAAACATAACCTTTAGCACATGTCCTAAAATCAATCTGATTGATCTTGTGAGTCACCAAAGTTGGATTCATAAGATCAATGGTTGTTTTCCATTTTTCAAGGGAAACAACATGCCAAGCTTGAACTTCGGCCAAAGTTTTCTAAGTCCACAAGATGACCTATAATGTCTTAAAGTTTTTGATGGTCTTCCAAGCACAATTGGCTCTTGACTTGTGAAGAGAAGGTGGAGAGGATGTTAAGATGATTCATTTTTTCAAAGAAGAATTAAAAAATGTCAAGTATGAAGGAGTTGTAAAGTATTGAACTTAGGCTAAAAATGTTGACTTTTTGGTCAAATTTCCTTGAATAAACTCGTAACCTTTGGAATTTTCTTGCATTTCAAGGCATATTGATGATCACATGAACTCAAAATGATGTACCCTTGATTTTAATTTGATGAAACATGTCATGGATTGATGAAACTTGTTGATGAAGACATGAAAATAAACACATGAACTTTGGAAATTTCTTAAGAAATAATCTATCCAATCTTGAGATATCTTTGATTAAAATGAGCTTGAGTGATACTTGAATCCTTATGATTTGAGGTGAGAGGCCATGCTTTGATGATTTTCCCTTAAAACTCAATGATTGACCATACTGTAATATGAGGGATTCAAACCCTAGCCGAGGTTTCTTTCACTTGATGCTCTTGATTTCAAGCCTTACCTTGCAAAAGAAACAGAAGGACAAAGCACATATTTTTGTATTTTGGTTAGAGGTTAGTGAAATATAAAGCCCACAAGTATAAAGATAAATCTACACAAAAGGGTGTTTGGTGACCTCCACAAACACAAACCCATGGATGACAAATGCCCTTATTTAAGTTTCTTCTATTCAGAGATATGAAGATTGACATCTTTGTCTCGACGAGATAGAAGAATCTTAATTACAGAAAGCCCATTTTTTGGCCCTAAAATACCGTAAAATGCTTATGACATGACATGATACGATATGAATGCAAACACATAACTCTGTGGAACAAAGATGCCACAGGAGATAGACAACTGCTGGAGAAACTTAGCAAAGGAAAAAAAAACTCTTCAGGGGAAAAACAAATAAAGAGATCCAGTTGGGGAATGTAAAATTCCACAAGAGATGGAAAAAGTGTGTAGATGGAACTATGACTTGCAAATGCTGGAGATAAAGAGAAAAGAGGATTTGGACTCCACTAGGGGAATCTCAAAGTCATTTAATCTATTGGGGAAAAAATCATTGCTAGATAAAGATAAACAAGATACTTGCCGGAGATAGATAAGCTTCACAATGGATAGGCACTTGCTGGAGATAAACAAAGACTCTGTCGGGGATACTCAAAAGAGATGTGAGCATGTCAAATCACACAACAAACTTCTCAAATAAAGAGACAACCATCTATTGGGGATAAAAGATTCATTGGATCGCAACAAAATTCTCATAAACACATGTTCAAATAACGAATCAAGTTGAATGATAACAAGCTTTCACTATTGGGATAAAGCTCAACTTCTTCTTTAATTAAGTCTCAAACTTGAAAAAGGACCAACTACAAGTTGTCTCCGAGTCTAGGGACCCACTTGATTGGATCAAGGATTTCACAAGAAATTTCTCCGTTGAGGATAAACTAGAGATATGTCATTTAATGTGAAGATACAAATTAATATTTGGGGACATACAACCTTCTCAAATAAAGAGATTGTCAGTTGAAGTCACACAATAGTTGAAAATAGTAAACAAGCTTCTCGACGAGATTTCCACTTGTAATTGCAAAAGTTGGAATAACAAAACAAGCTTCACAAAGAGACTGTCACTTGTTATCAGGTAAGGTTAACCATGCTAGGGACATGCCAATTTCTCATATAAAGAAACCGCCAACAGTTGGTAATATACAAGCTTCTTAGAGTAAAGAGATTGTCACTTGTTATTACGCAATGCTGAAAAACAGATAAGCTTCTCAAATAAAGAGATAACCATTTATCGTCATACGCAATGCCGGGAACAAACAAGCTTCTCAAATAAAGAGAGCCATTTCCTGTTAGACAACAATTCTAGGAGAGTGTTATCACATCACTACTGGGGAAGCAAAATCTTCATCTTCTGATGGAGAATCATAAACAGATTCATGTTAAGAAAAATAAATCCTCACAGGTACAAAATAATTGGATTGACAATATCACGTGGTGTCTCCAATTCAATTGGCGACGTCTGCCTCTTTATCTTAAAAGAAGGGTCGTCAATTCATTTGACGCATACACTCCATCAGTACTCCAAAATAGAGTACTTTAAAAAATAATTTAAAAAATGTTATTTTGAGATTTTTTTTTAAAAACGGAAGAATTTGGATAAAAAATTCCAAAATATTTTGCATAATCATATTACTTAAATTTTTATAAATATTATTTTATATATTTGATCATAATTGTTATATATATTTATATAATATGAACTTTTATTTTAATATTTTAATATTATATAATACTTGTGAAAAAAGACAAGCGTCAAAAATAATAATGAATAATTTTTTCCTTCTTATTCTTCTTCTTCTTGTTTTCAAATAAAAGTTATACCGTTGAGGTCTGCACTTGCCAAAGGGTTCCCGCCAGCCATTATTTCAAACTCTACGCAGCAGCAGCAAAGCCATGATGAGCACCACCACCGAGGGGACAGAAACCCCTAACCCTCCACCACCTACTTCTCTTGATCTATGGTCACAAATCGTCGCTGAAGAAAACCAAGATTACGGCAATCAAATTGACGTCGTTTTCAGAAGAAGAAAGCCTCGCAACGACCCAAATAATGCCAACTCGTAACTCTACCTTCTTCAATGTTTTGTTTTTGTTAATTTATTCTAGGTTTTGAAAAAGTTTTTGATTTTGATTTTTGCAGAATAGTTTCCGATGATATTCCCCGGCGTCCGAGTCGGGTGAGTTTTGCTGACCCAAATAAGCGAATTAGTTGGAAACGCTCTCTTTCCACCAGGTTTGCTCTCAGTTTCTCAAACAGTTTCTCAAAAAGTTTGTGGCTTTCGTGTTTTTTTAGTAAAACCCCTTTTTCGTTTTCAATTTCAGTGAAATGAAATGATTGATTTGAATGGTTGAAATTCATTCCATAGTGTTTTGCTGTACTCCCTTTGTTCCAAATTTAGTTAATTTTGTATGCTAACATGTAAATTGTGATATAGCATTTTTTAGCTAGAATGAGATATATTTTGGGAACCTAGGTAGAATTTGTTAATTTTCATTTAATTTTTAGAATATTACTTTTAACAGAGGGAGAATAAGTATAGCTGTTGGTGCTTCTATGGTTTATCAGCCTGAGCTAAAGAAAGATAAAAGAAAAGGCAAACCACCTGCTATTCCCAAAGTATGTTTTTTTTACCTTACACTTTGATTTTCAAAGTTGAGAAACATGACTTTCTTCTCATTTTGAATAATTATGTAAGATGATATCTGAGTCCATGTTGTTCTATTCTAACAGACTTAACTGTTTGTTTTTTGTTACTTGTTTGTTTGGTATGTATAGAGTAAGAATGTTAAAGCTCCCAACTTTGACAAGGAAAGATTATACTTTCAAGAGGTTGATGCTTTTGAGTTGATGGAGGAGAGCCCCTCTCCAAAGAAAGTTGGCACTTGGATTATAGGCTATAATGCGGAAGAGGTCCCATTACCATCACTATGCTCTAGATTGGAAAGATGGTTACACTCCAGAAGATTAAACCTCAGATGTCGTCCCTCAAGCACACTATCCAAAATCCTTGATACCCCAACAATGAATTTAGAAGATAGATTGAGATCGTTGGATCAAAGTGGGCTAAGCAATTCACAATTGAGTAACTTCAAATCTGGAGAAAGTCAAAGAAGTTTAAACAATGCGAGTCTTATTGAGAGTGAAGGTTGTGAGGATGTAGAAGCTGGTCTAAAGAAACTTTCTCTGACATCAACAACATCCTCAATATATGATGATAATCCATTTTCTGTTCTATTAGAAATTTGTGGGCAGTCCGCACCTTCTATGTTACAAGATTTGTTCTCTAGGTATAGGTATGTTTCTCGTTTCCCAGTAGCATCATATCTGGTATTTGGGTTAGTTATTGCTCGGAGAGACATATTTTTTACTTCATATGCGTCACACTTCTTTAGTACTCTATGTACAATAAGTGTTTTTTTTTTGGTGCTTCATATTATTATTAGGTTGCAATTGCATGAGAATTTTGTCTACAATGCCATTTTTACTTCAATCCAAAAGGATTTTTTTGTTCGTACTATTATATGCCCTCATTTATATAGGGAATGCCATCTTTCTTTTTCCAGTGGTTCTGAAACAGTTGTGAAAGTTGGCGAAGGAACATATGGAGAAGCTTTCAAGGTTGGGAATTGTGTATGCAAAATTGTTCCTTTTGATGGGGATCTTAGAGTGAATGGAGAAGTCCAAAAGGTAACATTAGCATTTATATTATAATAATGATTTTTGTCCCCAAGAGCAGTTTTTCAAATAAAACTATGCTCATTCTACTTCATTCAGAATATTTGATGAAGCATGATCATTTCTTTGTTAAACTTAATTGAAGTGGCTGGATGTTGCGATCACGGATAAACTTATAGTATTGTTATGTTAATGAACTGTGACTTTATGTAATTACAGAAATCAGAAGAATTGCTGGAGGAGGTGCTTCTTTCCAAAACTCTGAATCAATTGAGAGGAGGTGATGGAGTTTTGAATAATAATCTATGCAGAACATTCATAGAATCCAAAGAGTGAGTATCCGGCTTAAATAATTTTAAGATGCTGATCAAAAACATTTTCCATGGGAACTAAGTTTTATTCAACTTTTCCACTAACCATAGTTTTTTACTCTTCCACCTCAGCGCTTGTATTTTAGTCATTGCAGCATGTGTGATTCTAGAAATTTCTGTTCCATCATTCTGTTCCATCATGCACAACTTAAAAGTTGTTTTGCTCTGTGCCTTGAGCACAAATTTCTACTAACTTTTCCCATAAGCACTATAGTCTCTCATCTATCTATGGTTCGTGTTCGTGACAGATTTAGGGTGTGCCAAGGTCTATATGATGAGGTTCTGGTTCGAGCATGGGAAGATTGGGATCGCAAGCATAATTCAGAGAATGATCACCCAAATGAGTTCCCAGAGCAACAGGTTTCCTGTTTTCCGCGTTGATTATGGACTTGCATCTATTTCTAATTTAAATTTCACTTATAGTAATATATTGTTGTGAACATAAATGACGGGCACAAGTTTTTAAGATAATAGCTTCTAAACTGGAATAAGTAGTTTTTAGTTATTTCTAGCTCCCACAAATAAAAGTGATACGTGAAAATGAAAGAATAGAAATGTCGATCTACTCTTTGGTTGCTCACTTCACTATGTTTGCTGTATTAAGTTGAACGTGCATAATTTCATTATATTAACTTGTGGTCACGTTTAGTGTTACATGGTCTTCGTGCAACAACACGGCGGCAAGGATCTTGAAGGTTTTGTGCTCCTTAATTTCGGCGAGGCAAGGACTTTACTGGTTCAGGTATGTTTTACATATTATTATGCAGAATGCTTGCAGCTTAATGAGGGATTATTGCACCTGCTGAATGCTTACAGTTTAATGAGGGATTGTTAATTTTTTTTTACTTCTATCATAAAATACAGGTTGCAGCTGGGCTTGCTGTGGCCGAGTCTGCCTATGAATTCGAACATCGAGATCTTCACTGGTGGGTATTCATGCAGTGAAGCGATAAATGCAATCATTATATTTGTAAGATTACTAATTTACAAATATCTAATTGTTCAGGGGAAATATACTTCTCAGTCGAAGTGATGATTCAGCAAAGTTGCAGTTCACTCTCGATGGAAAAAACTTATTAGTCGAAACCTATGGATTGATGATATCTATTATTGACTTTACGTTATCTAGAATGAACACTGGTGAGCGCTTGAGTTCCACCTTATATATGCTATTGTATCTTAAATTTCTCATTTACTATGATTAACTGTTGTCCTATTTACACAGGTGATAGCATACTGTACTTAGATCTTTCTTCCGATCCCGACCTATTCAAAGGACCAAAAGGAGACAAACAGGTAAGAAATGCTTATTTTGGGTTGTAAGCATTCTATCTGATCAAATTAATGGATCTCATCTAAATATTACATTCGCACGCAGTCAGAAACATATCGGAAGATGAAGGAAGTAACCGAAGATTGGTGGGAAGGAAGGTAAGATTCTCATATATTCATTTATCATAGCCAATTGTCACGTTACATGGTAAATGAAAACTTGAATGTTTGATTATAGTTGTCACATTTTGTGCACGCCATTCAACTGATTCAAGAATTGTTCGATGCTAATATGATAATTTGCTTTAATATTATAAGTTTTGGCACACTCTTGACATCAGTCCTGGTTTATAAGTTGCAATGTTCGTTATTCTTTTTATATTCCTCGGAAACTAAACCTCCATGCCTTTTTCAAATTCGCAGTTTTCCTAAAACAAATGTGTTATGGTTGGTCTACTTGGTAGACATACTACTCACGAAAAAAACATTTGTAAGTCTTATACTTGTTTAACAGTAAAATTTATGTAATGAGTTCAGTCTATGCAGTGTATAATGAACAAGTGTTATTGCATATGCAGGAACGAACTTCGAAGGACGAGAGAGATCTACGATCATTGAAGAAACGTCTGGACAAGTATAATTCAGCCAAGGAAGCAGTTTTTGATCCTTTCTTCACTGACTTGTTTGTTGAGTCAGACCCAATGGCTTAACAAAGATAAGCCACTGCTATTTATTGTTAGTTAGGGTAGAAGTTAGTTGAGCAGTTTATATTTTTGTTAACTTGTTAGATTTCTAGCTCATATTTTTGTATATATGCATGCATTCATGTAAACAAACTTATATGGATTGCGCTTAACTTTTGTAGGATCAACATAATTTAATGGATTCATATTTTCATCCCTTTATTCATGAACTTTAAGCTTTCTTAATAATATTCCTATAAGTTAAGTTGCTTAACTCAAGAGGAAAACATTTGAGGGACAGTTTTGTTGCCACTATTTTGTGGCTTTAAGATTCTGGCCCTATAACTTGCTCTGTCTTCCTTTGCTTTCGGCTAGAGACCCTACTCTTACAATACGACTTTGTTTTTTTTTGTGATTTTTTAAAAAGTTGCAGACAGGAATGCAGAAAAGAATATCCCACGTGGGTTGTCCCTGTTTAATATGAATTTTGGGTAGAAAAAGAAAAGGCATAGTACCATTTTAGTTCTAAGTAATTTTGCTCTGTTGACACTTGGACAGCAAGAACTACGAGTCTTAATAATTCCTTAACTTTATTTTAATTAATTAGTTATGTGTCGATACATTACTTTTTTATTTTAATTAAGAAGTTCTACTATTCCATAACAATGATAGTAATTGCTTTTGCTGAGCGAATATGGCTATAAAACTTTAACAACACCGACCAAACTTTAGATCTCAATAGTCATCTGTATACTTTTAGATCGAATTCTTAATAGATACCTAAGCCGACATCAATGAACATACCATGATTATTCGGGTCTCATTGCTGAATTATATGGGGATTTTTTAATGCCCTGTGCTTTACTAGCACATCCCATGAAAATATAAAAGTATATAAATAGATTCAGAAATATATTTGTCTTAATACAATACATTTATGAATTAGTTTTAAGTCAATAATAGAAAAAAAATATTATGGAGATATATCTTCATATATATATATATATATATATATATATATATATATATATATATATATATATATATATATATATATATATATATATATATATATATATATATATATATATATATATATATATATATATATATATATATATATATATATATATATATATATATATATATATATATATATATATATATATATATATATATATATATATACACACGATAAAACGTGTCAGAATCCTTTCTTCTTTTTCATTCCACAAAAACCATTCTAAATAATTAAACTTACTCAAATTCTCTCAACTCACATTCTCTCAACAAGTCAACTTTAAAACTTCTTTCATCAACATCAAAGTCCATTAAAAAAAACTCATTCAACTGAAGTAAACTCACAAATTGTAAGTTTTGTATTCTTATCAACTTTTTTTTTTAATAAAGTGGTAGAAATTGATGATTGAGTTATGAAATAAATAATTTATACATAATTAGAAACATATTATAATAGGTAGTTTTGCTAACCAATGCACTATTTTTTTTTTCTATTTTGGGGACTGCATTATCGCCATTGACGTTGATGTGAGCTGCAAAAAATTTTGGAGATACATCTCTGAATTTTTTCAACGTTTATATTCTCAGTAACCGAAGATGCATCTTTGAAATCTATCAGACTGTATTTTTTTCTTTTTATTTTTTTTACTTGTATTCGTTGTGCAACGCTTATTGTGTGGTTTACTTACAAACATTATGGTTGATAGGCAGGACTACTTGAGACACGACAAAATTGCACAACATGCATCAGTTCAAAGAGAAAAAGTCAACCATTGCAGGCTCCTGTTACATCGAGCCCAGTTGATGTAGATGCGTCAGCTTATGAGATTCATATATCTCCGCCTTTTTCTACATCTCTACCTACATCTTCCTGTAGGCAACGAGTTTCACCTATTCAAGTACCTCATACACTAAAGGTACCTGAGACACCCCATACACAAGAGGCACCCTAGGCACCGCATGGGTTTAAAGGAGGTCGTCAGACTTGTCATTGTTGTCTCTTTACTCAGACCATATTACCATATATGTCTGGGACGGAGAGGTAAAATTAGTTGGATTCTATCTTTATAAATTGTGTTTGTTGTAATACTAAAAGTTTTTGGCATCTAGATTGATTCACAATTTTCAAAGTTTTGGCTTAATTCCGACATCTGGTATCTAGAGCACTGGATGAGCAATTCGTGGAAAGAAAATCACAATGGCAATGAATAATTCAAACAGGCATTTTTCAACGAGTCTTTCGATTCTTAAGAATAATAATTATGAGAATTAGTGCAAGCAGATGAATGTGGTTTTCTATTATCAAGATCTTTGGGATCTTGTGAAGGAAGGAGTAACACCGCTTGCAGAAAACACGACAAATCAAATGCTGCATACAAAGAATTAAAGAAGAAAAAAATTAATTCATCAATGTGTTGGTCCATATGAATTTGAAAAGGTTAGTGATGTAGAATCAGCAAAAGAAGCATACAAAATCTTGGAGAAATCGTTTGGAGGCGCATAGAAGGTGAAAGAGGTGAGGTATCAAACTCACAAAATGACATATGAATTGCTTCAGATGGAAGAAAGTGAAAGCATAACTGATTTCTTCACTAGGGTTACTAAATTGGTGAATCAAATCAAAGTATGTGGAGAAGTGTTGACATCAAGATAAGTTGTTACAAAGATCTTGAGGTCATTGGCTCCAAAGCTCGACCACGTGGTAGTAGCCACAGAAGAGTCGATAACTTTGTCAACATTGACAAAATAAGAGCTTCAAGAGACTCTTGAATCTCATAAAAAAAGGATGACTAAAAGAGATGCAGAAAATTCGAAGAGTGATGTGGCTTTGCAGGCGCAATCACAAAAAAAAGGCAGAGGAAGTTGGAATGGCAACAGAGGCAGAAGAGGCTACAACAATTTGACTAGTCGAAATCAACAAGAAGGAAACTGGTCGAATAAGAAAAACCCCTGAAGCCAAGGCAATCAAATAGGTGGTTTTGCAGGTAGAGGAAGAGGTGGTGGTTGAAAACCTGACAAAAGTCACATTCAGTGTTACAATCGTCAGAAGTATGGTAACTATTTTAGTGATTGTCAAGAAAAGAAGAAGAATCAAGAAATTGATGCAAAACTGGATAAACATAAAGAAGAAGAGATGTTACTAATGGTCACAATAAGAGATGAAGAAATATTTCAGGACCAATGGTACTTGAACTCAGGATGCTCATTACACATAACGAGTATGAAAGATTGGTCTGTCAACATGAAACCCTTAATGAAGAACATGGTGAAATTTGCAATGGCAATACTCTATCAGCTGAAAGTATTGGTGATGTTCTAGTTATGAGGATTGGCTTCCAACCGAAAAAAGAAAATTTACTATTAGTAGTTTAGTACAATTAGTCTTATATGAACTAACAAATCCTATGTTATTCAATTCATCTTTCTAACACTATCCAATGACATTCTATTTAGGTCTCATCCTAAATACGAGATCATCTCTAACTTTCTCTCAATTACTAAATCCTAGTGATCAACTTCAATTCACAATGTTGAATGTTGATTTACAACTCAACTAGACAAACTGTTTAGTGTGAAATTTGGTAAACAACCTCTGGTCTATCACTTTGAATGAAATTGAGTAACTTGCAAGATCGACCATACAAATCCTAGGACATGTGCTAAGTTTAAAATAGAATCTAAATTGAACTCCAAGTTCGACTATATTCTAAAGGAACTCCACATTCGACTATAAAAACTTTGTAAAGTAAAAAACAACTTGGAAATTGACAAGGCTGTAAAATAAAGAGTGCAATTCTTAAAGCGTCGAAAGTAAAAGGCAAGATGTAAAAAACTTTGAAAATAAAGGCAATGATGTAAAGGCTTGGATTTGATAAAAATGCAAGAAAGTAAGTGTGTAAGATGTCGAAAGTAAAAGCAATAATGTAAAATGTTTGAACTTGATAAAAGTGCAAGAAAATAAGTGTGAAGACAAATATTTAAAAAAATGCAGGAAAATAACAGTCGAAAGCAATTAAAAAGACTTTTAAATAGTAAGTTAAAATAAAGTGCAGAAGAAAATCAACTGAAAGTAAAGATTAAAAATAAAGTTTCAAGGAAGAGCATGTAAATACGAAAGATAAAGTTCAGGAAGGCATTTAAACATGAAAGATAAAGTTTAAAGGAGAACATGCCAAATAAAGTGAAGAATAAAGAACAACATACAAATGATAAAGATACATAAATTGCATTGATGAAAAGAAATGGTGTTACATCACATACATTCTGTCGAACTCGTTTCTCTACATGCAGGTACTTTGAGTAATTTGCAGTAACTTGTACAAGAAAAATGAACACCCTTATTCTATGGAAATAACCCTTATTTATAATGTTAGAAAATAACTACTAAGTGACGGTTGTTGCTTCAAAACGTGTCTTTTGGCGCTTTTTCTTGACTTTAACCGTTCCCACGGTAGCCAACTGCTCTTTTGAAATTCAAATATTAGGAATTTCCCTCCAGCCTTAGTGGTAACTGCAGCGCGCTTCTTTCAACATTCTCATGATCAAAGGACTTTCCAACACTTAGCAATTTTTCCAGAAGTTTTCACAATCTCTCTTCGACTCAGGCTTCACCAAAAATTGGGTCGAAGCCTTCTTATGCTTAAAAATAATTTTTTGACTTGAGATGACTCGTATTTTGCTGGCGTCGAAAATGAGAGCCAACAAATTGCCCCCAAGAAATGTCCTTTCGCCAAAATTGGTAGGAAGGTCATTTTTTATAACCATTTCGACACATATGACTATGAAATTGCATGGCCTTAATTTAACAACCCACTAATCATTTAGTGGCTAAACTGTTCAATTTCTTTAACCCACGCTTATGACATCACGCCATCATGACAAATCCTTGAACGTATTTTCATCCGTATTCATCATCACTTTTTCTTGAAAACATATGTTTTGCAGTTTGACCGTAACTGCTAACACTCATCATTTCCTAAGAGAAAGACACGCGTCCCACTACCTGA